ATGCGCGGAGTGCTGTGACTAACGCCTAAAATACTATTCCCTTCAGTATTTTAGCAAAAGCTGTACTGGAGCGTTGCCGTAGCAACGTCTTACAACACTTGCAGTGTTAAAAGTGCTATTTATTCCTTCAGAATATTAGCAAACTGTGTTATCAGTCTTTGGTTGAAGGTTTAGTTAGTTAATAATAGCAACTGTGAGTTAAAGTTGCTAAATTAACAGTTGATTTTAGTCTAAAGGGTTAGCCAGAATTACTTACACATTGCGCCTTTAAAGAAGCACTGAGTTACTGGTGAGAGTTTGATGCAGCTTCTGATTTCAAAACAAAATGGCTTCCTGTCTTGACCGGCCGGCCAGGAGAGGGAGCCAAAACACTGCTCAGTGAAATCAGCACCAACCTGTTGCTGGTTCAAGGCTGAACCACTGATTTTACTCCAAGCTCTACAAAACCAAAAGATTTATTTGTTTGTGTTGGATAAAAATCTCTGTGTATCCCACCTCACACGGGCAGCTCCATATAATGTTGGGGTTATAGGTCAATGAATAATTTGTAAGCTTTACTTACTTTTTGGATTCTTCAATAAATTCTGTAAATATGGAAATATTTACCGATTAATTAATTAATTAATTAATTAAGATATTTTGATATCTACGGGGCACCACCCATTCTAATTAGAAAGGGAAATTGAATCCAAAACCTCTAGTTAGTCTGTCTGAAGTTCGTAAAATCCGTTTAGGAGCAGAGATTTTCAGCCAACACACAAAATCCAATCTGAGACAAAAATCTTAATTGGCTATACATTTATTAACTAATATCATCCTTCAGCTCCTTCTGAAGCGTTAATCAATCAATATAAACCAACTGATTTTATCAAACGAATAACAACAATGAAATGATACCATAAAACAAGGAGACCCCAGTGGATGGGTTTGATTTAGTCGTGTGTCCTCCTAATCACTGAAAACAAACGTGTGTGAGTGTGTGTGTGTGTGTGTGTGTGTGTGTGTGTGTGTGTGTGTGTGTGTGTGTGTGTGTGTGTGTGTGTGTGTGTGTGTGTGTGTGTAGCAGTGATGTGATGCTGGAGGAATGCGAGCTGTAAGCTGTGAATTTTCCTCTCTCAGATGCAGACAAAAAGGAATTAGCTTGCACTTAAAACTCAAATCACAGTAGACTTAACTTCAAAAACTTTAGACCCGCTTCACAAAGGAAAACAATTCAATCATTACTGAAACACCTTTATGTCTGCCAGCCTGGCCACAGCGTGACAAACTTAGATATTAACAATAACAAAACAAAACAAAACGGCTTACTTCAAGATAGTCTGTATGACATATTTGGTACGGAAGAGAGCCCGAAGCTACTTTAAAACGATCCGCGGTTTGATCGCTTATTTTGAACTATAGAGAAAACGGAAGAAGAAAGAAAAAAATAGAGAAAGAAAAACTTTGAACGAACGAAAACAGCGAGGCGTCCCTCCGATGTTCCGGTCGGCGTTCTCCGTTGATCTGACAGTTTTCCGCTGCTTCTCTGCGGCTCGGCCTCTTGTCGTGTCCGAAACCTTAGCAGAACGAGCGTCCCTTCACCGCCAGCTGAAGCTGGAACAAAGAGAACGAAGTTTTTCTCTTTGTGCTGAGTTTTATAACTTCCAGCGTCTCCGTGTGGTTCGGCGCATGCGCAGAACCCGTGCTCTCCTTGGCGGTGACGTCATCATGCTGCTTCCGGGCGCAAAGACCCATGGGAAATTAAGTCTCTCTTGGCGCTGGAACTTAATATCTGCTTTTTCAGAGCGCAGATGGCACAGTCTTTTGGAGAAAATTACTGCACAGTAATTTCCTCATGAGAACAGACCCTCAACACCAAAGAATCACAATATCTTTTTGCTTTCACATTTCGCGGAAGACAGCTCACTTACAGAAGGCTACCACAAGGGCTAAAACACAGTCCACACATCTTTAATCAAATCTTGAAACAGAGCTTCAAAGGCATCAAGGTGAACAGCACTTTGATTCAGTATGTCGATGACCTACTGATCTGTGCACGAACAATCGATGATTGTCATCGTGACTCCATTAAAGTCCTCCAGAAGTTAGCTCGGGGAGGACACAAAGCCTCTCTGACAAAGCTTCAGTACTGCCAACCACAGGTAGAGTACCTAGGGAGAGTAATCTTCCATAGGGCTGTCGCCATCTCACCAGAACAGGTGTGAAGGTGAGCAAAGCTCCACAACCACAAACTGTTGGACAAATTATGACATTTCTGGGAATGACTGGTTTCAACTCCGAGTGGATTGAAAACTATGCTGAAAAAACTGCACCACTCAGGACACTAATTAAAGGTGCCGGAAGTGAGTCTTTAAAATCAACTCTAAAATGGACACATGAAGCTAAGACAGCTTTTGAAACAATCAAACAAGACATGCAAACTGCGCCAAGTTTAGCAACACCTGACTACACAAAACCATTTTTGCTGTACGTCGCAAACAGACATGACATGTATGCCTCTGCAGTGTTAATGCAGGACACGTGCAGTGGACGTCGGAAACAACCTATTGCGTACTACAGTGCAAAACTTGACAATGTGGCACAGGGATGGCCCACGTGTTATCAAGGATTGGTTGCTTTGCATTATGCTTATGAGAAAGCCTCAGTGATAACAATGGGATATCATGTCACAATCTATACACATCATAAAATATCTGAACTGATCAACCGAGGAAAGTTTGTGTTAAACCAAGCAAGATCCCTGCAGTATATGCCACTACTGACATACCCTGACGTTGTCATAAAGAGGTGTACCACAACAAACCCTGCTAACAGTGTTCCCTTTGAGTTTGAAGGAGAACCACATTGCTGCATAGCTGAGGTATCAAGATACACTAAGCTGAGGTCTGATTTGGAATCTACTCCTTTCGATCACTCTAATGTCACCTATTTTGTTGATGGTGCATGTTTTAGAGACTACTTAGGAAACCATGCAGCATTTGCTGTTGTGGAAAAAGTAGATGACAGATTTGAAACAGTAAAAGCTGAAAAGTGTGACCAACCCTGTTCTGCACAGTTAGTGGAACTCAAAGCCCTGACCGAAGCTTGCAAGTTGGCGAGTGGTCATGTAGCAACCATCTACACTGACTCTACCTTTGCACATGGTGTTTGTCACCTGTTTGGAAGTGTGTGGAGACAGAGAGGTTTTAAGAAGACGGACGGTACTCCCGTCCTTCATGGAAAGCAGATCAACGAGCTGATCTCAGCAATGATGCTTCCTTCGAAACTGGCCATTGTAAAGTACCCTGCGCACTGCAAGGGTGACTGTGACATCATCAGAGGCAACAATGCAGCAGATGAGGCTGCAAAGTCTGCCTCCAGATGTGAAGAAGCCATTTTGACACCTGTAATATCATTAGAGCCTGTAATAACACCAGAAGACATAATTTTGATTCAGGAAAAGGCAGAGAAAAGCCAACAGCAGTGTTGGAGAAAAAGGGGAGCAACAATGGACTCCAGCGGCTTGTGGAGATCCCATGAGGGCTTGATCGTTGCACCTGTCTCCTTGCTGACAATGCTAATCTCAGAAAGCCACGGTCCTGATCATTGTGGTCGTACAGAGGTTCTGATAAGACTTAAAGAGCAAGTAACGTCTAAATTAACTTTTTTTTTTGCTGATGAACTGTATAAATGAGTGTCTAATAGTGTTTTAAATGTGTGCATTCTTTATTTTAGCATTTTGGTGCATTTTCTTTAAAAATTAAAAATTCTGTCTAAAAACCACAGTAATGCGCCACCTTCAGCTGAAAACATAGAATTTGAGTCATTTTGAATAAATTTTAGCCAATGGCTAAAGAGTAAAATACTACGTAAACCAGTAGAGTACTACGTAGCAGCTCCGTGCCAAAGTTATAAAAGCAACAAGCGTCTTGGCCACGCCCTGTGGCGAGTGGGAGTTGGATTTGCAAGCGAGGTCAGCGGTAGTTCAGCATTAGCATATAGCATTAGCATATCCTAGTCTTTAGCATATCTTTTAGTGTTATAAATACTTATTTAGTGTTAGTTTGGCTGTTGGATATTGTAGTTTGGTTAGTGTTTGGCTGTTAGTGTAATTGGGAAAGTAGTTCGGGTTTAGTGCTCCATATCGTGTTAGCATGGTGAGATGGTGTAGTGTAGTATGGTTGCGGTGGCTCTGTGGGCATTTTACCCGCGATTCTGCACGTCTCCGTTTGAAGAGGGAGGCTGTGCCCACCGTGGCTTTTCCGCGATTTAGATGCAGCCCACCGACTCTGCTCCCCCACCACGGCGGGCTCCAGTCTGAGGTGAGTACGCTAAATAAACGTTTTAACATCTTCTAAAGACAATTCCCTACCTAAATGCAAAGTCTGAGAGACGTGGTTCACTTCCTTTAGCTAGTCAGTCAGTAATTCTGCAACAGTGTCTCTAACTGACGCAGCACTAGTTGACAGACAGCATTACAGCGTGAAATCCAGCTTGTGACCCGGTTCTGTAAGGAATTCTGTTCAGGAGGTCACATTTCAGGCTCTCCATATCATATGTGACTGACTTTTACGTTATAACAACGATCACACACTAGGAATGTTATAAAGCGCCTTTATAGGACAGTTTCTTTTGTATATTATCTTACTTTATAAACTCCCAACAACAATGTGCTTCTATTTTTTTTTTCAGGCTAAATCTACCCAAGACACTGGCTGTCAGACTGATTTAGCTGCAAGAATGTACTTGTCCAGGCTGACGTGAAGCCTTACCTGTAGCAAAGGTGAATTATTTTTAATAATCTTCTATGTAAACATTTTATTATTACCTTCTAGTTTTAATTTGTTTTACAGATTATTGTTACACGTGATTTTATGCACTTTTAAACATTTATAAATGTGCTACTTCTTTGTTTTTACATAGCCAGCCAGAATGGAGTTCACAGCCGCAGTGTGTCTGGTGACCCACAGGGACCATGATGGAAATTCATCTTCCAGAAAGTCTCAGAGCAGCGTCCACACACCCTGAAAAGACCAAGATGTAAGGTGTCTGCTGTTGATTCCAGCTTCCACCTCAGTGACAGTGCAAGCTCAGTGAACTGTTCAAGGTAAAAAAAAAAATTAAAACATTTCAGAATTTTTAAGATATTAACAATTAAATAAGTATGTGATTACATCATGACAGAGGCTACTGATTCTGCCCCTGTGACACTTGGTGGTGACGTGTGAGCTGATTCACCTGGTAAATAACTTTTACATTAAATATTTTGTTTTTGCTATCAAAAGTAATTTAACTAATAACCTGCATTATTGCAGGACACTCAGCAAAATATGGACTCTACACCATGAGGCAGGCACACGTTAATATTCTATAAGAGCACATAAGGTGAGCAACACCACATATTATTGTACACTGTCCTGGATTTATTTTCTTTCTGCATCTCATCATTAGCCTGGCTGATCACCTGATAACTCCTGTCATCTGGTTATGACAGCATGAGGATGTCCTCACACACCTGTAACCTATCAGCTCATCTGGCAGAATAGAGAGAGAAGAGACAACACCACATCTCCTGTTCCTGGAAAGCCTTCAGCCATCCTTTGATGACTGAGAACCTCCATCAGCTCTGTCTCCTGTCTGCCTACTATTATTATAATAAATATTATGTTTGACAAGTTTTTTGTGCTGCCAAATATCTCATTTAGATTCGTTTTGATATTTTAATGGATATTTATAAATTACATTGATTATCACATTTTTGTGGCATGTTTAACTAGCTCTATTGTGATGAATTAAACTAGCACCTCACTGTTAAAAGCTCATTTTAATTTCAAGCATGTTTAAGTATTTATGGACATGAACAAAAACAGGAAATATATAAACTGAGATTTATTTAATTAATATAACAAATAAGGGGGAAAGAGTCATTGAAAGGCACATTCTTCCGGAAGCTCCTGATCCTGACGACACCAGAGACCAGCTGCAGACACCAGAGGACCTAGAACCAAGAGAGCAGCTGTTATTAGTAAATAAATAAATCAGGGCAGTTTTAGTGAGCTGAACACATTACAGAATAATTTTCTCATGGGGTATTTTCATAACTTTATGCAGCAGACTGTAACTTGAGCCCAGGGCTACCGGAGAGCTGCTATCTAGCATGTTTCAGTGGATTTTCCTGCTTTAACAGGTTAGATTAGCTGTTAAGCAGCTCGGCTATTTGTTGCTGATTAAAACCAGGTGTGCTGAAGCAGATAAACCTCTAAAACATGCTGAATACTAGCTCTAGGGCCGTGGAGACAAACCCTGCAGCTAATCCAATGCTATGGCTAACGGCTACTTACCATTCAGAGGTGGTTCTGTTGGGTCGGTTCTGGGAGTTTCAGGCAACTCACAAGCTCAAAACAATAAGGCTCAGGTCCGCTTGTCTCCTCCAAATAGACTTGGTCCCTTTCTTCTCGAGTGTCTGGGTAAGGAGGGGGAGAAACGTCCTCCACTTCTAATAACTGCTCAGAGTGAAGGGAGCTAGCATCGTCTAGTTAGCCATCGTCTTCGTCACTGCCGCGGCTCCGCCCTCTCGGTCCTCCAGGCAACGCCTACTAATGTTGCATTTTTTAAAATTGATACGTGGGTGGAGAAGGACTCCTAGGCTCAATTGACCCGCTCTTTAACAAACAAGGTTACTGATCACCATACCTAAAAGCCATGGTTGAGGAAGTGATAGATCAGTGTGACATTTGTGCTGAAAACAATGTAAAAAAGGGCATCACAGTCCCAGCGGGACACATTCCAGTGCCCGAAGGTCCTTTTAAACATTTGGTCATTGACTATGTTGACATGATTAAGTCTATGCATGGGAAACGGTATAAGCTGGTGATCATTGACAGATTTAGTCGGTGGATTGAAGCCGTTCCCTCTCAGGATCTAGGTTCAGAAACAGTGGTTAAGTTTCTAGTCAGAGAAGTGATTCCTCAATTTGGCATTCCATCAGAGATAAGCTCTGATAATGGTCCTGCTTTTGTTGAAAAAGTCCTTAAAGGTGTGTTGCAACAACTAAGGATAAAGCAACGATTAGGATCAATTTATCACCCCCAGAGCCAAGGAATTGTCGAGCGAGCGAATCTGACGTTGAAATCTAAAATCTGCCAAGTCTGTGCCTGCACTAACCTTAACTGGATTGATGCATTGCCGCTTGCCTTAATGAGCTATCTCATGCAAACTAACAGAAGCATGCATCTTTCACCTCATGAGGTTCTAACAAGCAGGCCATTGCCAGCTCCTCAGCTCAGAGGACCCCATAAGGGGCCCTCGTTAGAGCAACTAGAGCTTGAATTCAAAAGCTATATCAAGCAACTAACTAGCATCCATAAAGTCATCTATTTGCAGGAAAAGAGAAAGGAGCTCGTCTCTAGCGCAGGCACAGATGGGCCAGAGGTTCCTGGAGACCAGGTGTACATCAAAGTTTTCAGGAGTAAGTGAACCGCGGCGAGAGGGTCCCTACAAAGTGGTTCGAGCAACGCCAACAGCAGTCCAGGTCGAAGGAGGATTGACGTGGCATCATCTGACACACTGCACGAAAGTCAAAGACAAAACTCAGGGCGGTATTGTGTCTGACTTAACAAACCGGCATGATGACCGAGGAAAAGAAGGGCGTGCTAAGCCTGATAACTGTTCTGTTTTGGATAACACTAGGGGGTCTGATGGTTGTGCTGGAGGAGGTGAAGATGGAGACAATGGCCGAGGAGCAACTCATTGACCCATCACAAGAGCATACGCCAAACGGCTTGGTCAACGACGAGGCAGCACACCATGATCAAGTTAAGTGCTATCCAGTAGGCCGGATGCAATATGGGTCGGCATCCTTGCCTGCATTCAACTTACCAAATGTTAAAGCTGGTGTAACAAACCACGATTCCAAGCGATGTTTTGACCACAACTAAGACAAATGCAATCCCTGACGGTGTAACCACAGTTCCAAATAATGTTTTAACTACTAGCGCTACAACTACTGTAATCCCTGATGTTTTGACTACCACAATCCCTGTTAATTCTGATTTCTCTATTGGCATGTTGCATCCTACCTGTTGTGAGGAGACTGTGGGAGTCAACTCTGGCTGCCCACACACACAGAGACTCACAACAACATTCTGACATCATATGGTACCAGCTAACGTTCTAGGGTACGTCTTAGCCAATAGCGGTGACAGATTTAATTTAAAAATTTCTATTTCAAATTTAATTTCAGCTCAGTGGCCTAGTGGTAGAGTGTCCGCCCTGAGACTGGGAGATCAGGGTTCGATTCCTGGTCGGGTCATACCAAAGACTTTGAAAAATGGGACCCAATGCCTCCCTGCTTGACACTCAGCATTAAGGGGTTGGATTGGGGGGTTAAACCACCAAATGATTCCCGAGCGCGGCTGTGTCTGCAGCTCACCGCTCCCCCAGCGGATGGGTCAAATACGGAGAACAAATTTCGCACACACATCAGTGTGTGTGACAACTAATGGGACTTTAAATGCAGTGCAGAGTTTTTACCTGACAACACAACACTGACAGTTTTAGGCAGAAAATAAAAATTTTAACTAAAATGCACTAAAGTGCTAAAATATTGACTACACGTGTCTGCAGCACAATTAGACACGCATTTATACAGTTTATCAGAAAAAATAGTTGACTTGGGGGGGACTTGCTCTTTAAATAAATTTGCGGAGATGAGCTGCACTGGGTAGCTGCATGTTGGAGTAGCGCTGTTGACTATATGTAGGTTTAGCCTTTTCTTAGACATTTTTTCTTCTGGTTTCTCGGGAGGAACGGTATTTTTTGGACATTTTACTTTTCTGTTTCTGGTGCTGTGAAGCTTGGAGGATTTTTACTGCAATTTTTTCACTTTTTGAACATTTGTTATGATGCGTAACCATGGCAACAAGCTGGTTTAAAATCGGGAGCAGCTGATTAACATTGGGAAGGCTGAAATAATACCTCAACTGAAGCCACAAATCCCAAATGAGCTAAAACGCAAGAAGCGTGGGTGCAGAGCGGGAGCAAAACGGAGACAGAGAAAGAGGAAATTCAAACTATCTCTTCCATCGATCATAATGGGCAATGTGAGATCAGTGGCCAACAAGACGAATGAACTGCTAGCCCTTTCAAGGACTCAGCCAGAGTATCGGCAGTATAGTGTTATGTGTTTCAAAGAGACGTGGCTGCAGGACCATATCCCCAATTCCAGCATATCTCTGCCAGGATTCCTGACTGTACAAGCAGACAGAGGTCTGAAGAGGAGCGGGAAAAGAAAAGGAAATGGAGTGGCAGTGCTTGTCAACAACAGATGGTGCCATCCAGGTCATGTTTCAGTGAAATGTCGTCTCTGCAGCCCAGATGTTGAACTCTTGGCAGTAAGTTGTCACCGATATTATTTGCCAAGAGAGTTCACCAGTGTTGTCTTGGCAACCGTTTATATTCCACCTTCAGCCATTGCTGAAAATGCATGTGATGCCATCAGTTCCGTTGTCGCTAAGCTACAAACCCAGCACCCCAATGCATTTGTGGCTATATCTGGTGATTTTAATCATGCCTTGCTCTCTGCTACACTTCCAACATTTCAACAGTTTGTCAGCTGCTCCACCAGAGAAAACAAGACATTGGATTTGTGTTATGCAAATGCAAAGAATGCATACATGTCCAAAACAAGACCTCCTCTGGGACAATCAGATCACTATCTTGTTTTTCTCTGCTCAGAATACAAACCACTTTTTCAGAGGCAACCTGTGACAAGAAGAACTGTGAGAAAATGGTCACAAGACGCTGAAGAAGCCCTGCAGAGTTGTTTTGAGACCACAGATTGGATGACTCTCTGCCAAGGATATGAAGAGGACATCAATGCCATGACTGGATGGGTCACTCACTATATAAACTTCTGTGTGGACCAAATCATACCCACCAGAACAGTGAGATGCTTCGCTAATAACAAACCCTGGATCACCAGTGAACTGAAGAATCTGCTAAATGAGAAAAAAAGAGCCTTCAAGGAGGGAGACAGGGAATTATTGAGGAGTATACAGAAGCGACTGAAGATCAAGATCAGAGACAGCAAGGAGGCATACAGGAAGAAGCTGGAGAACAAACTACAGAGGAACAATATCAGAGATGTCTGGTCAGGGATGAAGAAGATCACAGGCTTTAAGCAGAGGAAGGATTGCACAGATGGCAGCCTGGACACAGCCAGTGAACTGAACAAGTTCTTCAATAGGTTCAGTTCAGGAACAAACCCAGCATCCTCCTCGCCTGTCCCCAGCCAATCAGACATTTCATCCTCCTCTGATCCAACATCTTCCTGTCACACGCCAGCTCTTTTGTCTTCTAACGCAGTCATGGACTCTTCTGGTTCTATAAATCTGTCTTCAACCAAGTCAGGAGATGCTGCTGCCCCATTTACCTCCCCCTCCCACCTATCTTTCTCTAGAAGTCAGGTGAAGAGGCAGCTGGAGAGGCTAAGGCTGCAGGTCCAGATGGTGTCAGCCCCAGGGTACTGAAGACCTGTGCAGAGCAGCTCTGTGGGATTCTGCAGCACCTCTTCAACCTCAGCCTGGCCCAGGAGAAGGTTCCAGTCCTGTGGAAGACATCCTGCCTTGTTCCAGTTCCAAAGAAAACTCGCCCATCGGTCAATGACGACTACAGACCAGTTGCCCTGACATCCCACATCATGAAGGTCCTGGAGAGACTCCTGTTGGTCCACCTGAATAAGCAAACTAGGACATATCAGGACCCACTGCAGTTTGCTTATCGCCATGGAGTTGGAGTTGAAGATGCCATCATCCAGCTGCTTCAACCAACCCACTGTCATCTGGACAAAGCAGGCAGCACTGTCAGGGTCATGTTCTTTGATTTCTCCAGTGCATTTAACACAATCCAGCCTGATGTACTTTGCCAGAAACTCCAGAAGACACAGGTGGGGGGCCTCAACTATCACCTGGATTAAAGACTACCTGACAAACAGACCACAGTTTGTGAGGCTGAAGAACTGCACATCAAACCAGGCGATCGGTAACATTGGAGCACCACAGGGGACTGTACTCTCACCATTCCTTTTCACCCTGTACACCTCAGACTTCCAGTACAAATCAGAGACCTGTCATCTACAGAAACACTCAGATGACTCTGCAGTTGTCGGGTGTATCAGAGATGGACAGGAAGCTGAGTACAGAGAGCTGGTGGAGCGCTTTGTGGCATGGTGTGGAAACAATCATCTGACCTTGAATGTGAACAAAACAAAGGAGATGATTTTAGACTTCAGAAGAAACAGGGTGGAGTCAAACACTGTTTCCATCATGGGAGAAGAAGTGGAGGTGGTTGAGGAATACAAATACCTTGGAGTTCACCTGGACAACAGACTGGACTGGAGAAAGAACAGCAAAGCCGTTTACAAGAAGGGGCACAGCAGACTGCACTTCTTGAGGATGCTTAGGTCCTTCAATGTCTGTAGCAAGATGCAGCAGATCTTCTACAAGACTGTTGTTGAGAGTGTAATCTCTTCAGCCATCGTCTGTTGGGGTAGCAGCATCAGAAGCAGGGACCTGAAAAGGCTCAACAGCCTAATAAAAAAGGCTGGCTCTGTTCTGGGGACGACTGTGGAACCACTGGAGGAGATAATGCAAAGAAGGATTCTCCAGAGAATCAAGAAAATGATGGACAACCCTGAGCATTCTCTTCACAAGACTGTCCGACAACAGAAGAGTGTCTTCAGTCAGAGGCTTCTTCAGTTTGGCTGCAACACTGACTGCTACTGGAGATCCTTCCTGCCAACAGCCATTGTAATATACAACAACTCTTTGATGACTTGATTATTATTATTATTCTGAGCTACTACAGCAATCAATTTCCCTCTGGGATTAATAAAGTATTTTGAATTTAATTGAATTGAAATGTAAATGACAACCCATTACTTTCAGATTAAATTTTTTATTCGTTCCTGACGGAAACCTCTCCTCTGTTCCGACTGTGTTTATAACCTCTGCCACTTGTTTGGTTCGTTTGCACCTCGGTAGTCGGCAGCCACTTTGTCGAATAATTTTTTTTTCCCGAGTAGAAGCAGGGAGTCCCCTCACGAGCTGAGGATGTTGCATGACCAAATATGGTTGATTGAGGGTGTTTCTGTATGCAAATGACTGAGAACGGACACAAGCACCTGCGTACGCACAGGTGGGATTTATCATCACATGATTGCGGAGGAACGTGCGTACGAGAGACCACCGCATGTTTCATAAACCAGGATTTTGATCGTTCGTATGAACATTCTATTTTGTTCATTAGGAAGAATTTAGGATTATTTCTATGAACGTTTGATGAATGAGGGTCCTGATTTCAATCAGCAGGTGATTAACAGACTTCTGTAGAGCCTGATGAGCTGCTGCACAGGCGATTCAACCACTGAATCTATTGCGTTGGACTAGAGAAACCACTAAAATGTGCCGGATACCGGCCCTCTAGGCCCGGTCTTAAAACATGACTTCATCTGGTTGCCAATAACAAACTCTCATTAATTTATCAGACCCAGAAACTAGAAAACAATCCACCATCAGATCCAGGGATGCTTTTCTCTTATTCAGACAAACAAAATCAGAGCGTTTCATGTCTCGCATCCTGGGCTTGGCTGCACTCAGACTAGCCATTAGCTTATCTTCCTGAATGGCATTAAACTCGATTTCTCTGAACGGAGGCTGTTCAGGAACCAGGAAGATATAATTATAACTTTTTTGCAGGAACAATTCAAATTCAATTCAAAGATACTTTATTAATCCCAGAGGGAAATTAGAGTTTCAGTACACACAATTCTGAGATCAGACATACATACATAGACATAGACACATGACAAGAATTGGTGACTGTGGCCATTCCTTAATGGAGATCAGAGGGTTTACATGAGGACTGGGTCAGGTGGAGGAAAAAAAGGCACTTCAGCGTTACCCTCCACAGGGAGGGCAGCTTTGCTATGCAAAAAACACCTCAGACAGAAATGCAGCAGACTTCAGACACATGTTTACACAACATAAGTGTCCACTAGGTGTGGAGGTAGGGTTGGGGACTCTCCTCACATCAGTGCATGCAGCCGCGATGAGCAGCGCTCGTCACCTCCGTTTGGAGAGGGGAGGGAGGTAATTGGGTTAGAAAGCACAGTGACTCCTGGAAACGGTTTAACGGCCTTCACCGGTCACAGTCCCGCCCAGGCTGGGATAGGAAGAAAGAGTTGCCATGACAACGGCAGCATTCCACATTTCTTCTGAGGGGGAGCAATCACTTCAGCCTCACGGGCTCCAGATTCAGATAACTTGTTTTGGGGCCAGACAGAGATCATTTCCTCCCCGTCTTAAAGTTCTGTTTATGTTTATGTTTATTCATTTCGCAGACGCTTTTATCCAAAGCGACGTACAATTTTTATAACCTATCGGGCATGTTGTGATCTGTGGGGGAAACCGGGGTACCCGGAGGAAACCCACGCATGCATGGGGAGAACACGCAACTCCACGCAGAAAGGCCGCAGCCGAGTTTTGAACCTGCGACCTTCGTGCTGCGAGGCAACAGTGCTAACCACTGCGTCACCATGCAGCCCTGTTGGTCTACAACCCCTCTAAATCCAATAATGGCCTAAATTAATCTATTCCCAACTGTGCTGTCCCGTCAACTCGCTCCTTGATCGAATCAACCTTCTGTGCCAGAGCCTGAATCTCAGCCAAAGTTCCAAGCTTACGACTCATCTCAACAATTATATGAGTTTGTTTGTTCACAGCGCAGTGTCATCCATCCCTGAGCTCCGGGATTGAGTCAATATTCCTCGAAAGCTCATTAATTTTCTGGTAAGCCAGGTAACCGCTCAGGCCAAACATCAGGAATCCTAACACCAACACCACGAATATCCAGACGTCTTCAGAGTCCTCTACAGACAGTTGGGAGAGGCAGATCAGGTTCCACTGTCTCCAGGAGTCCATGATATACCCAGCTGGCTCTGTCCCAGAGAGGCATCCGGGAGCCCCTTCTCTCATTCTCATCGTTGAAAAAATCTTGTCAATCGCGTTGAGAGACCAACTGACCAGGTCCATTTTTAATAATTTCCAGTTTCCAGAAAAAATGCAGAAGCTCCGTACACCCTAGGACAGACAAAAAGCCTTGGGATAATATAGGTTGGAGAGGAGGAAAAAAGCGTCTGTACTCTCTAAGAGCCAGAAGAAGAGCCGCACTTCAGAATCGCTAAAGCATCATTTAAATTAAATGTTACCTGCTGAAAGGTTTACGCTAGGCCACATAATCTTCTTCTGGTGATTTCTTTTACCAGAAATAAAAAGTATCCTCAACACCATGAATTAAAAAAACATAAGTACTCCTTATTAGGGATGAGCGAGTACACCACTATCTATATCTGTATCTGGATCTGTACTCGGAGTGGGCGTGGAACAACCCGGAAGTGGGCGCGGTTTAACCAGAAGTGGGTGTGGTTTACATCAATACATTATTTTAAATCTGAAATTGATATGGATTGATCAGAAGTTGATATGTGTATTGTTTATTTGAAAACTAATTACAGAGCAGCCTCAGAATTGAGATTAAATATTTTTATGTTTATGTTTATGTATTTAGCAGACGCTTTTGTCCAAAGCGACTTACAAGTGATGATCGGCATTTTGCCCTTGAGGCTAACAACAACAATAACAACAACAACATTGACATCAGTCATGGAGAGGAGGGAACAAGGAGTGGACAGTAGAGAGGGGGGACGGGTGCAGGCAAGGTGCTAGTTAAGAAGATGCTCTCTGAAGAGCAGGGTCTTCAGGAGTTTCTTGAAAATTGAAAAGGAAGCCGCAGTTCTGGTAGTGCTTGGAAGGTCATTCCACATTTGTGGAACGATGCATGAGAAAAGTCTAGATTGTCCTGAGCGTGGTGTAGGCACTGCTAGCCGACAATCCTGTGATGACCGGAGCGGCCGGGCTGAGACGTAAGCCTTTGCAAGAGGATTCAGGTAGATGGGAGCCGTACCGTCTCGGACTTTGTATGCTAGTGTTAGCAATTTGAATTTGATACGTGCTGCTAGGGGTAGCCAGTGGAGCTCAATGAACAGAGGAGTGACGTGTGCTCTTTTAGGCTGATTGAAGACCAGACGCGCCGCTGCGTTCTGGACCATTTGAAGAGGTCTCACAGTACAGCCTGGAAGACCAGTTAGAAGGGCATTGCAGTAATCGAGGCGGGAGATGACAGTAGATTGCACCAGGAGCTGGGTGGCATGTTGTGTTAGGTATGGTCTGATCTTTCGTATGTTATACAGTCCAAAGCGGCATGAACGGGCAACAGAGGCAACATGATCTTTAAAGGCCAGGTGTTCATCAATCACAACACCCAGATTTCGAACTGCCTTTGAAGGAGCCGGAGACAGGAAGTCATTCTGGATTGAGATAATGTGCTGTATGGATGGTTTTGCTGGGATCACAAGTAGTTCAGTTTTAGAGAGGTTGAGTTGGAGATGGTGGGATTTCATCCATTTTGATATGTCAGAGAGACAGTTTGATATTCGTGCTGAGACAGTGTGGTCGTCCGGTGGAAATGACAGATAGAGCTGGGTGTCGTCTGCATAGCAGTGGTAGGAGAAGCCATGTGATCGAATGATCTCACCCAGTGAGGTGGTGTATATGGCAAAGAGAAGAGGTCCTGGTACAGAGCCCTGGGGGACTCCTGTGGCAAGGTGGTGCACGGTAGAGGACTGTCCAAGCCAAGATACGCTGAATGATCGTCCTGTGAGGTACGATTCAAACCAGGCGTGTGCTTTCTCTGTGATGCCCATGGTAGAGAGTGCGGACAAAAGGAAGCCATGGTTGACAGTGTCAAATGCAGCCGATAAGTCGAGCAGGATAAGCACTGAGGATTTGCCAGTCGCTCTAGCTTCTTTTAAGGATTCAGTCACTGCTAACAGAGCAGTTTCAGTGGAGTGGCCCTTTTTGAACCCAGATTGGTAAGGGTCAAGCAGACAGTTTTGTGAGAGGTATTCTGTGATCTGCTTGAAAGCCACCCTTTCAATGATTTTGGACAGAAAATATTTTTGATCACATTAGTAAAGGAACTATTACAGAACAAGTTTTTCAATAAAATCAGAACATTATTATTTAAGTGCATGACTTAATACATCTGAACTCATGCAGTAGGAACTAGGAAATATGAAATGCTAGAACCAGACACTATTTTATATATTTTTTAAATTTTAATTTGATTAAACTGATTTTTTTCTTAACGTTCTTGGCATATTTCCCCACAAAAAGTTAAACAAAACAATGTTGATTAAGGTGTGTGTGAGAGAGATCGGAACCCGACCGATGTTCCGACTATCCGTGCTCCCTGTCGAAATGTGCTACTTTGGGGGAATGCACAGGCCAATTGTTGCGTCACAGGCTGTTTACAGGTCAAGACGTGTTATCTGTGGAAGTTTACGTTTAATCTCGTCACTTAGCTAGTTACTTTCAACTCGTCGAAGGTCACAGTAAGTATTTCTTTAAGTTGTTTTATTAAATTACTGCTTGCTGTAAGTTTACCTGACAGCTTGCAAATGGCTTCTAAAATATCGTTATTATACTGTAAACAAGAAATTTCTCCCATTGTTTACAGTCATTCTGAAAGAGTCCCAAATTAATATCCAGCTTGATGCTGCCAGTAATTTAGCTGCTGAGCAGGAGCTCATTAAGAGCTTGGAGAGCAGCTCTTTGCATGATGCTAAGGTGCGTGGTGTCACTGAGGAGGTGAAGGAGGAAAGGATTGACACTCTTTTGGGAATTGTGAA